CATACATGTATATATAGGCTTATCATGTAATATGATTATATTATAATAGTATAATACTATGAACCAGCGTCTGTGGCGTAGCGGTTAGGATCTTCACTATCTCACGCAGGAAGCCAGAGTTCGATTCCCGAGTGGGACATTTTTTATCGAGCATCTCGGTTTTTTCTCCTGCAATATTGTATCACCTCAGTCTGGCTATGCCCTGAGAGGCAGTTCAAAGTCCGCCTCCGAAAATGATCTAGATTGTTTTGATGGGGGCGTAAAATCACTTACATTTTAAAAAAGACCCCAAGTGTTCAGACGTAGGCACCTGTCTGTCAAGACGTGTGACATTACAGCACGTGTTCTCGGCACTTGGGTGATCTAATTGTGTTACAAGTGCCGTAAAAATCTACTAAAACTAAACAACTTAACAACCCCAATTAGTGTTCAGACGTATACACCAAACTGTGTGGGTGTATTAGGGTACAGCGTACATCTCCGGCACTTATATAACCTAATCGTGTTGTAAGTACCGTAAAACTCGTACTAAAACTAAACAACTTAACCACCCCAATTAGTGTTCAGATGTAGACACCCATTTGTGTGGACGTACGAGGGTACAGCGTGTGTCTTCGGCACTTATACAACCTAATCGTGTTGTTAGTACCGTAAAACTCGTACTAAAACTAAACAACTTAACCACCCCAATTAGTGTTCAGATGTAGACACTCGGCTGTGTGGACGTACAAGGTACAACGTGTGTCTCCGACACTTATATAACCTAATCGTGTTGCAAGTGCCATACAACTCGTACTAAAACTTATTTTTTTAAAAATAGCCACCCTCCCCCTCCCCTCCACACACACAACCCCAAGTGTTCAGACGTAGACATCTGACTGCGATGACGTGTGCGGGTACAGCGCGTGTATGACCAGGCCCAGGATCTCTGACGTCTGCTCACAGTTCTGGCACGACCTTGAGATTTCCCGCCTTTTCTGCTGGAAGCCCAGGTCCTTCATCTCGTCCGGGTAGCTTCCACACAGGCGCCGGGCCACCGTCTGGTCAGCGCTGTCCACTTCCCCTCGCTGTAACACCTGGGGACACATTGTTCAGGTCCGACGTAAATTTGGTGTTTAAAATACGTGTCGCGAAAATACGTTTCTGTGTGTCTTGCAATATCCCTTACAAGGTTTTCTTGGTTAAAAAATATCAAATCTATAATTTCATTTTTAAAAAAATATTTATTTATTTATTTTTCTTTCTTTCTTTCTTTCTTTCTTTCTTTTAAAAAAAAATGAAATTTGATTTAATTTGATTTAAATGTATTTTATTTTATTGAATTTTATTATTATTATGTTTTAATTTTTAATATTTAATATTTTTTTTATTTTGGGGGGTGGGGGGGGGGGGTCGATATAGATGGGATTTTTAATGCCCCCATCGACACAATTTAACAGCGGAAATCAATATGGAGTAAATCACCTGCCGTGTTCGAGAAACATCAAGTCTTACAAATGTCAACAAAAATTTAAAAAGGCAACAAAACGTTACACAGATCCCTACACCACCCCCTACCCCAACCCCAGCACTTTTGACACACTTTCTTCCAGTTTTCACACTATGCATTTGGGTTACGACGCCTTCAGAAAATACCATTTTGTGTAAAGATTGGAGTAAAATTGTTAATTAATTTTTAAAAAATGATTTAAAAATTAAACCCCAAATCCAAAATATTATATTACTCACCAAACGTCTAAAATGCTCTACATCATCGTCGCCCAGTTTGAAAACCATTCTGAGGATGTTCCAGGGTACACCTGTCACAGGATAAGGAGATAAAAAGATAATGAATAATTTTAAATACAGCAGATTAAATAATTTAAAAATGAATAAATGAATAAATGGATAAATTAATAAAATAAATAACCAAATTATATTGTTATATTTCCTATCAAACATATATCGGTTTTATCTCTCCTCCTTCTATTCACCAGCGCCCGTGGTGTAGCTGGTAGGAGCTTTGGTGTCGGGCGAGGCCCGAGTTCGATTCCAGAGAGAGTGGGGAAACATTTTTCTTCTGGGATTTTGTATCTCTCTTAGCCTGGGTTGGCACTGATAGGCAGGGCAGGCAGCCTGACTCCTAAATTATCTAAATAGATTATTGTGTCAATGGGGGCCTAAAAGCCCCTAAACCAAAGAGAAACCTTCTTTTCTTTTCGTTTTACTCTCTAGTAACACTTTTTAATTTTTTTTTTGGTACTGGTAAGTGTTTTACGGCACTCGTAACTGCATAAAGTCATATAACTACGCGGGACTCATTAAACATTTTCAGTTAGTCGGAAATTTATAATTTTGTCCGGGTGGTGGCCGGAGCCTACTCACGGGACTTCCGAGAATTTTCACCCTTGTCCGAGAAGGTTAATTGTAGATCTTTCCTACCACAAGATCAGAGATGTGGCTGAAAGACAGCAGTAAGAAGGAGCCCAGGAGTGTGTTGCACGTGCAGTAAAACTCTCACTGAAACTCTTACTAAAACTTTCACTAAAACTCTCACTAAAACTCTCTCTAAAACTAACAAAACTTTCACTAAAACTCTCACTAAAACTCTCACTAAAAATCTCACTAAAAATCTCACTAAAACTCTCTCTAAAACTAACAAAACTTTCATTAAAGTTATCTCTAAAACTCTCACTAAAACTCTTTCTAAAACTAACAAAACTTCTTTCATTAAAGTTATCTCTATAACCCTCACTAAAACTCTCTCTAAAACTAACAAAACTTTCATTATTAAAGTTATCTCTAAAACTTTCACTAAAACTCTCACTAAAACTCTCTCTAAAACTAACAGAACTTTCAGTAAAGTTATCTCTAATACTCTCACTAAAACTCTCACTAAAACTCTCACAACAAAACGACAACGACAAACCTCCGATGAGCCTCAGCAGCAGCGCCATCCCGTCCAGGCCCTCGGACATCACACCAGGGGACAGGCACACGCTGACGTCATCGATACTGCGACGGCCGTCCGGCTCTTCGATCTCAAAACCTGGCGGGGTCAGAGGTCAGGAATGTGTTATCTGATTGTCACGTGTTTTTTCTCTCAATAATAATAATAAGAAGAAGAAGAATATTAATAATAATAATAATAATAATAATAATAATAATACTAATAATACTAATAATAATAATAATAATAATAATAATAATAATAATAATAATAATAATAATAATAGTACTAATGATGATGATGATGATGATGATGATGATGATAATGATGATGATGATAATAATAAAACTACTACTACTACTACTACTACTACTACTACTACCACTACTACTACTACTACTACTACTACTACTACTACTACTACTACTACTACTACTAATAATAATAATAATAATAATAATAATAATAACAATGATAATATTGATCATTATTCATTCTTATTATTCCTTTTTTAAAAATTATTATTATTATTATTATTATTATTATTATTATTATTATTATTATTATTATTATTATTATTATTATTATTATTATTATTTAAAAGAGGAAAAATAATACAAATTACAATAACGATCACTTCTATAGAACCCACTCCCTTCCTACGCTCCGCTCCCTTTCTCGATACATGAACGAAATAAATAAACAGTTTATCACCGTCGTACCTAGCGCTATGAGCAGCTTCTTCCAGTTCTCAACGTCCATGGTTCTGGGAGCCAGTGACGTATCTAGGTATAGGAACACAGGCCCACTGTCCACTACTGCTGACCGGATGTTCGTCACGCCCTGGTTAGGGAGGTGCTGTGACGTCAGTCTCCTGGCTTCTGTCACCTAAAAATAGGACGACACGATAATATATAACAGCAATAATAATAATAATAATAATAATAATAATAATAATAATAATAATAATAATAATAATAATAATAATAATAATGATGATAATAATAATAATAATGATAATAATAATAATAATAATAATGATGATGATGATGATGTTGATAATGATAATGATAATAATAATAATAATAATAATAATAATAGTGATAAAAGTAATAATAATAATAATTTAAAAAATAATAATGATAATGATAATAATGATAAAGATAATAATGATAATAATAATAATAATAATAATAATAATAATAATAATGATGATGATGATAATAGTTATAATGAAGCAATAATAATAATAATAATAATAATAATAATAATAATAATAATAATAATAATAATAATAATAATGATGATAATAATAATAATAATGATAATAATAATAATAATAATAATGATGATGATGATGACGTTGATAATGATAATGATAATAATAATAATAATAATAATAATAATAATAATAGTGATAAAAGTAATAATAATAATAATTTAAAAAATAATAATGATAATGATAATAATGATAAAGATAATAATGATAATAATAATAATAATAATAATAATAATAATAATAATAATAATAATGATGATAATAGTTATAATGAAAAAGAAAATAATAATAATTATTATAATAACAGATAGCATTTGTACAGCGTATATTCCCGCGTAACAGCAAGCTCTATGCGCTTTACAATCTATACTATTACCCAGCAGACCTTATATCATTCTGAAACCATCTCAACTTCCTGGGAAGCATAAGGGGCAAGTTGCCATTTTATAGGCGCTAACACACTAACATACTGACAAAATCTTTCGCTCTTTACGGCCGGGTACCCATTCCCACTTGGGTGAAGTGAGGAACATTCGTGAAAAATGGCTTTCCCATAGACACAAAGGGCCTGAGGCTCGAACCCTCGAACCCGCAACTTCACGATTGCGAGTCCGAAAGCCTAGCCACAAGACTGCCAACGGTAGTCTCAAGGTCTGCCTGACGTATCGTATGTTCCAGAGAGGTCAATGTCTGTCTGTTGTACCAAGGTCAAAGGTCTGTCTGACGTACCAAGGTCAAGGTCTGTCGGACGTACCGTATGTTCCAGGAAGGTCAAGGTCTGTCTGACGTCTGCCTCCATGATGCACGCCTGCAACATCTCCAGCAGGGGGCGCTGCCACACGTAGGTAGGTCGGGTCAGCTCCAACATCCGGTCAATGCAAGCTGTGCACCGGTCATTGTCTAGAGATTTTAAAAAGTACGTGTATGAGTTGAAGCCTCTCAGTGCTGAAGCCTGTCCATTTTCGTTTGCACAGACAAGAAAAAAGGTTCGTTGAAGAGAGATTTTAGCAAATCCATTGTAAATTTTCCCCTACTCAGAATAAGCAACTACCCAAGTTGCAAATGCATCTTTTAAAACGTCCTCTATAAAGCAGAAGAAAAAAATGTCAGGGAACCAGTTTGGTAGAACACAAGTGAGTACATGCATCTCCTTAAGTAGTTGTACTTGGGCTATCTACTACTACTATGTCTACCACCAAGTCAAAGCTATATCTTGCATACTGCTTTAAGACCGTCATTCAAGGCGCTAAAGGCCACAACGATATACATCAACACAGTAGTGGAGAGGTTAACGACACCTCTATCAACATTATTAGTTGTTGTTTTTTTACGAAGCGGGACTTCTGGCATTAAGGTCTGTCTTGGATAGGAATGAACCAAATGGATTTTGACTCTTAAAAACTCAAAAAAATAAATAAAGAACCCGAGCTCAAGAACGCCCAGTTTGGGATTCAGACCAGAGCCATCCGCTCCGTAGTCCAGCGTGATACCAGCTGAGCTAACGAGGCGACCCGTTGCCTGGAGATAAACAAAGGATCTGATTTATTTGGAGCTCGTCTCACATATCGTGGGCAAGCAAGCTAAATTGAACGTTAAAAAATAGACGGGGGTGGGCGTGGAAAAGGGAGGGGCGGGGCATATACCGCACTTGAGACCCGATTGGTGTTAGTTTAGTTTTCGTAAGAGTAAGTTTTGCAGCACTCGCAACTGCACAAGGTTATAATATGAGCGTGCGGAACACAAGTTGGTAGCATTGATAACAATTTATACCACGGCTTGGTTTAGATAAAAATTTCGATTAAAGTGTTAACAATTTGAGGTAAAATTTCGGTTTTAAAATAACACTTTGAATAATTAAAAAAACAACAACAGCTCAGCCCACAATTTTCTGTAAAGGCCAATGGCCTTTAAAAAAAACCAGAGAACAGATCTTGCATTTTTTTTTCTTTTGAAATATTTCCCTCAGGTCTCTCCGAAGCCTGGGCATTCGGTGTGTTCGAAACAGTTCGACGTCTTAATAACAGAACTGTTTTAAGTGTTTTCAGTAGCCGTTGAAAACAATACTGTTATAAGTGCTGTTAGTAGCAGCAATCAGTACTGTAACAGAAACGATGTTTTGTTACCGTAAAACTAAAAATCTCACCGAGAAACTGAGCAACGCCATTGAAGGGCTATCTAAGGAATTATTCCAAGTCAGTTCTGCCTTTATACGAAAACATTAAAGGCCAGTTTATCAGCGTGTGTTGCTCGAATTAACCAAAGTGTTTGCCAAAATGTTTATGTTGACATACGAGCGTACTTTCTTATCTGTTGACTATAGATAAGAGCCAAGATTCAATTTAGATCAAGTTAATGTTGTTTTTGCTTCATGAATTCATTGTGTCGTTGTGGATACCGTCTGTTTCTTTTGGACCACTTGTTGGTGGGTTTGTTTGGG